TGTGTGTGTGTGTGTGTGTGTGTGTGTGTGTGTGTGTGTGTGTGTGTGTGTGTGTGTGTGTGTGTGTGAGACTGACCTGCTATTGGGATGTTTTGGGAGATTGACAGATGGACGTCCCCTGTCCCAGGAGGCATGTCGACCACAAGATAGTCCAATGACCCCCAGTCAACCTACAAACACACATTTACACACACACACACACACACACACACACACACACACACACACACACACACACACACACACACACACACACACACACACACACACACACACACACACTAATATGTAAGCGCTTTAAGCACCAGGAGAAGCGCTATCTAAATCCAATGTATTATTATTATTATGATAAGAATGAAATGTTTTAAAGTTTTGTTCAGACTCATCTGGATATCTCTCACGTCCTCACCTGTCTGATGAGTCTCTCTATCGCTGACATCACCATCAAACCCCTCCAGACGATCGGAGCCACATCGTCCACCAGGAAGCCCATCGACATGCTGAGAGAGAGAGGGGGGGGGAGAGGTAAACAACAGGAGGGTTGAAGGGAGAAGACATTATCTTTGGGATGGAAAGACTCACCAAGGAACCCCGTAGTTTGTGAGAGGAAGCATCAGGTTGTCTGGAGGAAATAGGAAACCACTTTGAATCAGTTTCCAGGGACAGAAGCAAGAAATAAACACGTATCCAAGAAATGTAAATGATCAGGTGACGTTTATGTTACAGAGAAAGAGCAACAACGTGTCGTACTGTCATTGAGCTCCGGGTTTCCCTTCAGGTTCATCAGTTTGGGAATCGATGGACCGTAAACGTCTGCGTCTAACAGACCCACCGACTTCAACTGAGAGAGAGTGAGGGAAAAGATGGAAATCATATTTAATAATGTTTCAAATTCAGAGAAAATACTTGAAATGTTCCCTCACTGTAGATCTAACTGAAAGTCATGCTAAGTGGATAAAAAGCTGAGATTAATATGATATTATGGTTCCTTACCGGGTCGTTGGCCATTAACCCAAGAGCCAGATTCACTGCAGAGACAAAGAACAGACATTTAGCACAAAGTCAAACAGAGCTGTTCATATTTCCATGTATCTGTTTTCTGCAGATGCAATCATTAAGCATTTGGGCGACATCAGAGGTGGGAGGTAGTGGAGTACAAATACTTTGTTACTGTACTCAAGTACATTTTTCTGATATCAGTACTTTACTCCACTACTTATTTTTCTGAAGACTTTTTACTTTGACTTCTTACATTTTGAACCCAAATACCTGTACTTTCTACTTCTTACATGTTGAACTCAAATACCTGTACTTTCTACTTCTTACATGTTGAACACAAATACCTGTACTTTCTACTTCTTACATGTTGAACTCAAATACCTGTACTTTCTACTTCTTACATGTTGAACTCAAATACCTGTACTTTCTACTTCTTACATGTTGAACTCAAATACCTGTACTTTCTACTTCTTACATGTTGAACTCAAATACCTGTACTTTCTACTTCTTACATGTTGAACTCAAATACCTGTACTTTCTACTTCTTACATGTTGAACTCAAATACCTGTACTTTCTACTTCTTACATGTTGAACCCAAATACCTGTACTTTCTACTTCTCTCATTTTCCAAACAGGCTGGTTCCTTTAGTCTGAATGTGTGTTTGGTGCGTGATCATTATTATTTAGAGTCATTGCGTGCCTATTGATTTGAACACGATCCGTGTATCCATCATTTCCTGGTCTTCTCTAAAGAAGAGGGACCAATGAAAACGTTGTCATGTTGCCGTTGGTCACCATGGAAACATTCATTAGCTAACAATGACATTATTGTT